CGATCACGAAGGCCCTCATCTGTCATGTTTGTGGAGGCCCTGTCAGGGATCTTAAGGCTGTCAGCAATGTGGACAATGAATTACAGTAACTGAGCAACTCAGTGAGGAATCCATTCAGTAATGTAGTTAGAGATGAGAATGTTCACAGGGATGGAATAGAATGGATTTGAGAGATCTGAGGGAAATAGAATCAGCAGACTTGTCAAGATATGGATGTGAGGTTAAGATAGAGTAGGTGATCAGTGAAATGATGAATAAAATATGGACCCTGGCAACATTGGCATGTATAAAAATATATTTAATTAAAGCCACAGTTTATAGTCCCTGCTAAAGTTTGTGTGTCTGCTTTCCAAGTATCTTGGAAGCATTACTGTAGATTAGTAGCCCGATAATTGATCACTGGAAAAGCGTTAGTACATCTGTGGATTAAATATTGCATACTTCCAGTGTATTACACTCTCACATTCCCCAAAAGAGAACCAATAAACCGGAAAGAAAACACTAGATTTATGGAAATTTTTCAAGTAAAAAGTTCTGTAGATCAGTCTCTTTGCAGCTACTGTGTAAAAGCCCAACTTTTTCATGTCAGAGACTCTAAATTTTTTCTATCCTATTTCCTGGAAGGGCTTAGCTGGTAGTGTCTCTTATCTCTGGTAGAAATCACAGTGATACAATATGTTTACACAGTGCATTGGTCTCACCAGCTCCTTCCATACTGCAAATAGTTCCATATAATATAAATTTGGCATTTGAAAAGACCACAAATTTTTTTGACCTGCTTATATGTCATTTTGTACAAACAGTATGCCTTACTGTGTGGCACTGTAACGGTGACTTGTTATTTCTTTATTAGTAAATAATGCATGTGTCTTAAAGTCTTTAGGGACTAGGACATAACCTTGCCTCCAATTAAATCTGACCAGTATTCTCGTGAAATGTCTCAGCATTTTTATAATGCTACTGACAAGTGATAGCAACGCATTTTTGCAGATAAGAATGTTGAAATAACATAACAACTTAGATACATCAGCTCAGACCTCTTTATTCAATAATGTTTCTCCTATATATACTGCTTCCAAAATAATATGGCTCAAAATAAAACAAGCATATTCACATGTCAGATGACAAGTTTACATAATCCCTTAGTTATAGACACAGCTTCAGAAGGAGGTGGAAGTCATCCAAAACACAGTATTATAATCTTTGTAAAATGAGAGATAAAGAACTGGGAAATAGTCCAAGAGGCTTTTAGATGATAACAACCTTCATAATAATTAAGCTTATTGATACCTACTGAGATACAAAACAAAGTAAGAAGCAGTTCATTTTACTTGGCTTGATAAGTATCAGAGAAACAGGATTTTCCTGCTATGTTTTGTTACAGCTTCATATCAGTAATAATCACAAGAAACTACTAGATAGGCTGTACAAGTGGTTCCCTAGTCTTTTAAATAAAAAACTAATGAATTAATGTCTGAAGGTAGGTTAAAATTTCTAAGTAATTTATTCATAGCAGAAATTTAAGTATAAATATCACTTTAACATTATGACCAGCCCCTGTTCAGTACAAACTCCTGACTTAGTGTGTTGGGCTGCTTATAACAAAGAACACTCAATAGCTTATAAACAACATAAATTTCTTCCTTGTAGTTCTTGGATCTGGGAAATTCAAGATTCAGGGCACTGGCAGATTCGGTATCTGTTGGTGCCCATTTCCTCGTTCATAAACGGTGGTTTCTCACCTATCCTTTCAGAATGGAAGTGGAAAAACTGCTCTGTGGAGCCTCTTTTATTAGGGCACTAATCTCATTCATGAAGGCTACCCTACTGTGACCTTATCTCCCCCAGCCCTCCTTCCTCATACCATTACACTGGTGACTAAGTCTCAACATATGAATATTGGGGCAAGACAGACCTTCGGACCACAGCACCAACATTCTTAAAACCACCATTGTAAGCTAATCCAGGCATTATTAGTTTGTAGTATCTGCTTTCCTTTTTATATATCAGAAAGGTAGGCTCTAAAATAGTAACTGAGTTTCCTATTTTCAAGTGGCCCCTAGGAAATGCATTTATGTTGAAACCCGAATTAAAACCAAATGTATGACTCTTTCATGGTGTGGCTTTGGTTTCATTGAAATCTATCTGCCACCTAAAAAATCACTCTTCCATGCTAACCTTTGCTAAGTAATACCACATTAAATTTGTCAACATCAGTCTTTAGAATAATGGATGTATAGAAGGAAAATGGAGGATATTACAAAGCTGTGATGTTCAAATAGCTATCCGTTATTTAATTTGAACTTTAACAAAAGTAAAATGTACAGTGTAGTTCCTTCATTGTACTAGCCACACTGAAAGTGCACAATAACAGCCCCTGTACAGATGTAGTATAGCACAGCACGTATTGACAGCAGTCTAGGAAGTACTCACCGGTAAAGCACTTTGGCTGATTATGACTTAAAATGCCCATATGATGGCTTCTCAAAAAGAAGAGCAGCCAGGTTATTCATAAATAAAATCTGTAGTTTTGTTTCTTTCCAGAGTGAGATGCAATCTCATTGTTCTTTTAATTTTAATTTCTCAAAAAGCCAGTGATATTGAACATTTTTTCATGTGTTTATTGGTCATTTGTACTTCTTCATTTGAGAAGTGCCTATCCATTTCATTTCAGCTGCCCAATTTTTTTATTGAGTCTTTAAATTTGGAGAATTAATTTTTTAAACTTGTAGGTGTACTTTAGATGTTAGTCCTTTGTTAGTAGCTGGCAAAATGTTTTCCCATTCTCTAGGTTGTCTCTTCACTCTGTTGGTGGTTTCCTTTGCTGTGCCAAGATTTTTAATTTAGTGTGATCCTGTTTGTTGATTCTTGGTATTATTTCTTGTGCAACCTGGGTTTTTTTCAGAAAATCTTTGCCTATGCTTGTGTCTTCAAGTGTTTTACCTATTTTGTCTTCTAGTAGATTGTTTTTGTTCTAATGTTTAAATCTTTGACCATTTTTATTTTCATTTAGTACATTGTGACAGATACACGTCTTGATTCAATCTTCAGCATGTGGATAGCCCATTTTCTCAACACCATTTGTTAAAGAGGCTGTCTTTCCTCCAGCAAAAGGATTTGACCCATTGTTAAAGATAACATAGCTGGGTGTGCTATGTTGTTTCCTTATTTTCCATTCTGTTCTTTTGATCCGCAACTGTTTTTTTGCCACTACCATGCTGTTTTTATCACGGTAGCTTTATACTTTCTTTAACTTGAAGTCTGCGACCATGATACCCTCTGCCTTGCCTTTGTTGCCCAGAAAAAGTGGTATTTAAGAGAAAATCTTCAGGCATGATGAGTTTGTGCGTCCCATATTGGATTACTCTTCTATCCTGTATGTTTTTCATTAGCATCTTCTCAACATTATGGTTTTTTTTTTGTTGTTTTTTTTTTTTTACTTTTAAGGACATGAATGGATCTGTTTGTATTATGACTGCAATTCCTTGGTAGCAAAGGCCAATATATAACCCTTTGTGTGTCATTATCTAGGGGTGAAACCATGCTTTCAACTTTGTGTACCGAGTGATTGTTCTAACAAGAATATAATCGTCTCTCCTTCTCTCCTTCTCTCTCCTGTGTCTCTCCTGTCTATTCTTTTCTCTCTCTCCTCTCTCCCTAACCTGCCTTCCCTAGTAAAATCGCCTGTCAGAAAAAAAAAAGAATATAATCATCTGTCCCTAGGCAACAATAAAATAATTTTTTTCTATGGGTTTTTTCTGGTATCTCTTCTATCAGCCTGAGTCCTAGCAGACCCATGGGAGGTTTAGGATGAGTCTGAAACATCTCATGTCAGAAAGTAAAAAAACACTAAATAAAAAAAAAAAAAAAAAAACCTAGTAGAGCTAGGAGCCAGCCTGAAGTTCTTGCAGAATCTGGGAAAATTTGAGCCTCAAAATACTTAAATATATAATGAATTATAAATCATTGAAAAAATAGGAACCTGTGAGTCCATTAGGATGATGGCTGGAGAAGCAGATGGACAGTCAGATAGATGGAGAAGAGAGGAAATCTTTGGTGCAGTAGGGTGCTGGCTGATCAGTGGGACTAGCACAGTAAAGTTGGTAAACCACCACTTTGCAACTGTTACAGTTGAGATTGGTTTGGGGAAGAATTATCCACAGATGCTAAATAGAAGGGAGATGTTTGATAGGGAGCAAGATGATTGCATAGTATAAATTACTTTCCCGTGTACTGCTACTTTTGTTACAAGGGGGGAAAATGTGACTATAGAATAGAAAAAACAGTGAGGGGCAAAGGCTCCTTGAGTGTGATTGGCTTCTGAATGCGCGAGGAAGCATCAAACATCGCCTGTCATATCATGTATAAGTGGGCTGCATGACCTGAATTTCATCATGAGGAACAGCAAACAGAACCAAAATGAAGAATTTTCTGTTTTAAAAGTGGCCTTAAAAATGTCCATGTTACAAAAAATGTGGGGTGGGGCAAGATTAGAGAACTATCCCACACTAAAGAGAATGCAACAGCCAAATGCTCTGTATGATCCAGGGCTGTATCCTTGAGTAGAAGTGAAAAATATGTTTAAAAGGAGATAATTCGTACAATCGCCAAAACTGGAATACAGATAGTAGATGAGATTAAATGCCCTGTGTTGATATTGAGCCTCCTAAGGTCTGTAACAGTTCTATGATTGTATTAGAGAATGACTTATTCTTAAGAAATACACAGTGCAGTTTTGGTTTTGGTTTTGGTACCAGGAATTGAACTCAGGGCCTTGCACTTGCCAGGCAGGTGGTGTGCCGCTGAGCTACATTCCCAGTCCTCACAGTGCAGTATTGAAGAGGAAGGGGACATAACACCTGCAGTTTAGTCTCAAATGAGTCAAGAAAATAGTTGTGTGTAGAGAGAATACAGTATCACTTAGGAACTCTCAAAGTCTTAGAACTTTTCTGTGAATTTGAAAGTTTTTTCAAAATAAAATGCTATCTGACATTTTCTAGCCCTTTTTAAGGCCCAAAATGATGTGATGACAATGGAGATGCAATCAGAGAGACTTTCAAAAGAATATGATCGACTCTTGAAAGAACACTCAGAACTTCAGGTGAGTGACTAGCACCTTATGGATCTAGACTTTTAAAAAATATTAATTACTTGAGTAAATTATTTGGGTTACTTGCCCTTCCTAAATCCAGATGATGTATTTAATCCTGGCTTTGTTAAATGATTAAAGAATCCAAGTTTACCTAGAGGATGAAGATAAGGATGTTACAGCAAAATACAAGATGCTGATTTACAGCATTTACAGCATTCCACTTCGAGTGAAGTTTTAACAAAAACACTGAGCTGCAAAAGTGGCAGAATAGGGCCAGGGATTTAGCTCAGTGGTGCCACTGCCTGCCTTGTAAGTGTAAAGTCCCAAGTTCAATCCCCAGTACCAAAATGGGGGGGGGGGTTGAAAACCAGACTGGTCCTAGAAATTTTTACATTTCCCTGTTTAGAATATTAGCTACTGTTCATAGCAAAGTTAGGCCAAAAACTGATGTACAGCATCACACTTTTTCTTTCTTTCTTTTTTTTGGTACCAGGGATCAAACTCCGGACCTTGCACTTACAAAGCAAGTGGCAGAACCACTGAGCCAAATCCCCAGCCTGTCACACTTCTGTTGTCTCAGTGTTTCAGATATCTTAGGAGAAAAGATTATAGCATTCAAATATGTGACTTATCTCCAAAGTTGATTTGAAAAATAGAAATGGGAAATAAACAGTCAGATCTGGGAATTGGGTTTTCTTCCTGCACCTCTCTATTTCAGTGAGAGTCAGTTCTAAACATTCATCCATGCCTAATTTAACTTTCCCTCCTCTTTTCACCAGCCAACCACTAACCTGAATTGTTTTCTTGGCCCTATATGCTTTTTTTTTACTACCACTATTTTTTTCAATTAAGTTTATTTTAGGTGTACAACATAATGACATTCATCATTGGGAATTTGTGCGTGTACATGATGTATTTTGGTTCTTATTTTTTCCCCATCACCCTGCCCTCCCTTCAACCTCTCCACCTGTCCCTATTTACAAAGACTATTTCCATATTTTCCTTTTTTATATTGTTTCCTTTCCTTCATTCCTTTCCCCTACTCTTCCCATTTCCTCCTCCACTTTAGACCTTTGCTTCCTATTTCACATTATCTATTATACATTCTGATTCTTGTTTACACTGTTTCTTGCACCAGAGAAACTGTTCAGTATTTACACACTTGTGTCCTACTTATTTCACTTAAGAGGATGGCCTCAATGTGCATCCATTTACAGATGACTCTAGTTTCTCCTTTATGACTGAGTAGTACTCCTTTAAAAAAGTCTTCTTTATCCAGTCTCCAGTTGATGGGCAATTGGGCTGTTTCCAAGTTTTAGCTATTACAAACCGTGCCACTATAAACAGGGGGTGAGCATATATCACTGTGATATGATTCTTTTAATTCTTTTGGGAAAGTTCCCAGCAGGGGAATAGCTGGGTCAAATGGAACCTCTAATCCTAGTTGTTTGACATATCTCCATATTGATTTCCACACCAGTCTTCACTCCCGCCAACAATGGAGAAGAGTTACTTTTTCCCAACACCTTGCCAGCATATGTTATTGGATGATTTCTTGATAGCAGCCATTCTTTCTGGGGTGAGGTGGAATCTCAGTGTTGTTTTCATCTGCATCTCTCGAATGACCAGTTGAACATTTTTTCATGTTTTTTTGGTGCTTTTACTTCTTTGAGAAGTGCCTGTTCATTTCAGATGCCCATTTTTAGATTTGGTCTTTAAATTTGAGGGGTCTGATTTTTAAGTTCTTTATATATTCTCTAAATAATAGTCCTTCGTTCTCATTCACATTTTGATCATGAGTGGTATAGGCCATTATGAAGGTTCTGCTGGCATGTGGCAAGTAGGCTCTGTACTGCTAACTTTGGAATCAGACAGGGCTGGAATGCACATCTCTAGCCTCATACTAACTTTGATCTTAAGAGGTTATTTCATCCCTCCAGACTTACTTTTTTCATCTATAAAATTAGAACAACAATGCCTGGTTCATTGGTTTGTTGGGGAAATAAATTTAACATGTATAGTGATTACCATATGCTGATAATAAACACTCAAGACATGTAGCCGTTAATCATAATTATCATCATCATCAATACCACTTTTTCCATGGAAGTTTTTGCTGGAAGAATGATACATTCTTAACCAGCCACTTCAGCCTTAGGTCACCTAGTCAAGAAGCAACCCCAAACACATTTGTAAAATGATTTTCCCAGTTCGTTTGCATGTTTGATTTAACTCGTGGTCTTTAACAGTAGCAAGCAAAAAGTAGGGCAGCCTAGGGATGGATGGATACCCTGTGTGGAGGCTTAGTTCACAGGATCTGGAGTAGGCAGATAGATTTTTAGCAAGACCAACCCTTCCCCATATCTCGATTTCCTGAAATCTGTGACTTCCTCAGGGCCTGACAGGAATTACTCCATGACATATGCAAGGTCCACCATGGGAAGTAAAGAAGTCACTTGATACTGAGTAGCTCACCTAGGTGCTTTTTTCCCTCCTAGTTCTAAGGTCAGGGTGTTCTCAGCCAGGATGAGTATCCATAGCAGTGGACTTTGCCAAGGTGTTAGAAATGTTTAGAACCTGGGGAAAGCAAAACTGGGAATATACCCTCAATTTCTTATGGCCAGTATCCACTGCTTAATGTCTCCACTGTGGTAACAACTGACCTGTAAGAGCTAAAGGTCACTCTCATGAGCCCTGTGTTACAGTAAGATTCCTCAGCTCATTTCCCCACCCCACCCCCTAGAAAGCCACCTCCAGCTTGGGGAGTTCATATTCTTGGCAAAGGATATAGAAAGCTTTTATTAGTAATTCTTTCCTAAAAACAAAAAAGTTGTTACACCTGTTTCTTTGGGAAAGGACCCCATCACAGATATACTAAGTGCCATGCTGAGTTGGCTCTTACTTGATAGCCCATGTAGGCCTTGAAGTAATTTCTACCTACATACAGCCCATTCTTGAAGGTTTTTGTTGTTGTTGTTGTTGTTGTTGTTGTTGTTGTTGTTGTTGTTTTGGTACCGGGGATTGAACTCAGGTCCTTGAGCTTTCAAGGCAGGCCACCAAACCGCTGAGCTAAATCCCCAGCTTGAAGTTTTAATAGGCAACATTTACTGAGTGTGTGCTCTGGACAAAGCACTTGGCTAATTGATTCATATATGCTGTCAGGTTTACTTCCTGTGATGATTCAGTAAATTAGAAGATTTTAATGTCCCTAGCTTGTGGGCTTGGGAAATGAGAACCAGAGATGTTATGTAATTTACCTAGTGTCACTGAACTAAAAAGTGGTAGCATTTAAACTTGGCATTCGAAGTCAGGAAGTCTGTCTCCAGAACCTCCATCATTAACCATGTTGTTTAGCCTGTGCTGGTGAGGACTGTGTGTTCTTAGATCCATTTTCTAACCTCCACTGTTCTATCCCATGTCACAAGGAGGGAGATGTGTTGCCTAGGATTGCTTGTTTTGGACTTCTGAGCAGATTTAGCCCAAAGGAAGCACTAGTAGGAAACTGAAAGCATGAGCAAAGAGAGAGTCAGGGATTTCTCCTACTCTGTCTAGGTACCATCTCCTTTGTGGTTCCAGTTCCTTCCCTCCATAGTTCCAACTCCCACAGAGCAGCATCTACCTACTGGCCCTAACTCCTGGGCTTTAACTGTCCTATTCCTTATCTCTCGATCCCTAGAGTGGTGGTGGTTTTCTGCTGTTGCTAATCCCTGAGGTACCTCACCACCGTGTCTCATAGGTCTCCTCTCTTATCACCTATGAAACCAACTCCCTGTAATAAATATCTCAGGATGAAGGGTTCAAAAACCTCAGCTCCTGTAATCCTGAGCTGAGTCATTTGACATTCCTTGGCTACTTCATTACTTAAATGAGAATTATAATACACTATGAATATCAAATCACATCAGAGAAAGCACTTGAAATACTTTTAATCAAGAAAAGGTCAGTATAGCCCTTTGGTGCTGTTATCTAAGTCTGAATTAGTTACATTTTTTTCTCATCCACTTACCCAACTTCCATTGTCTAGTGTAAGAGTCTGAAATGTAGATATTTATTTAGACCATTTTCTTACATGTCTCCTGAATCTTAATATTCTTCTTCAGAAGAAACAAAAGGTAGCTGTAAACTATCCATAGTAAAAAGCTGTCTGTCCTCATGAATTTTACTTCTGTAGTCAACTGGAGTAATAGGATATGAAACTTCCATATTATAAAGAATTGTTAAAACATTAAGAAAAAAATTGAAACATAGGGAAGCTGGCTTCTTTTCTGTAATCAATTTTCACTTTGCACTTTTAAAAATCTATTAGGATTTCCCCACCTGGTTTCCTTGTTATGGGCACTAAATAAATATCAGAAAACAGTCCCTTCAAATCAGGTAGCCTTTGCCTTTCCTTATTTACCTTGGCTGTCTTCTAAAAAAAAGAAAATGAGCTGATGAAGAGATGTTAGCAGCACAGATGTATCAGCATCTTCCAGTTTTTAAGTTTGATTTTGGAAAATCACTCTTCACATTAGGGACTGGTCCTTAATAACACCTCCATTAAAGTTTTCATTTTTATCTAAAGAGTTCTAATGTGTATAAACATGTAAAAGTGATATTTTCTCATTCCAAATACCTTCTCTGATCCTGTCTTTATTTGATGGCCTAAAGTTAATGTTAAGTTGCTCTGAAAGCATTCATATTCACTCAGCCTGTACAACAGTTTGATCTTTCAGTGTACAAGCAATAACGCTCTGTGGTTCCATTTTATGAGATTTCTTTCTTGATGTTGACATTTACTTTAAGTCAAGTGATCTCCTGAGATTAATTCCTGTTTCATTTTCCTCCAGACTCAAATGATGTATTATAGTCATCTTTATAACATGTTCAGGAAAGTATAATTTGAGAAGCCAGTTCTAATTTGAGAAAGACCAAAAAATACTAAGCCACCCCAACACAGCTCTTTTGTGTGTGTGTGTGTGTGTGTGTGTCTTGCTTCCCTTTATTCTTTCCTTGCCAAAAAAATCTTCATTGGGTTTGCAGTAGGGGAATTTAAAATTTTTTACTTGTTCTAGCCCATGTTTGCAGTACATAATGATTACATTCCTCATGGGGAATTGGTTCATGTACAGCACACATCTTCATTCTTTTTATGCCCCCTTCCCCTTCCCTTCCTCCAGCTCTTGGTCTCAGTAGGGGAATTTAAAGCATTTTTTTTCCTGGAGTAACCTGTGACACAAAAGCCAAATAGGTTAAGTGTGGAGAAAACAAATTTGTCAAGAGTGTAAACATTTCTCCTGTAAGCATTTTTTTCAAGCAAAACTCAAATTTTATAGTTTTTAAAATTTGAGACTTTTTCCAGTCCATTTTCACATTTGCTGCTTCTTAAAATTAGTAACTATACATAGGAAAGAGAGCGCTTTTTAAAAGTTCATGTATCTATGGATCTATTTCTCTTTGCTGTACTTACATGTCATACTTTTTCTTACAGAATCGTTTAGAAAAAGGCACTAAGAAAAGCCTGTGAACTTTACGAAAGAAGATTGTGATACACCATGTCAAGAAAATAGATTTGTCATGATGGCAGCCACAAGAAAATTGAAAATTCAGTTTAGAAAAATGCACTGTGACTGGCCAACAGTTTCTATTTTTAATGCCACACATAAGGTGTATAGTAATAATACTGTCAAAATATTTGATAGTGTTTCAGATATATTATAAAGTAGATATTCCAGCTCTTATAAAAACTGTAAGCATGTTAAATGCCATATTTACATATTGATAATAATAACATTTGGTGTATGATGGCTATTTACAAATAAAAGAAAAAATTCGCTAGACAGTTGCTTCCAAAATTAGATTTTTTAAAGTTGCATGAAACCATTAATAGCCTTGAAAGTTTTGATGCCTTTTCATTAATATTATATGATGATGGCAATGTGTTTGAAAGTAGGACTCAGTATCAGCAAATTTGTTTACAGGGAAATTAAATAAGGATAAATAATAAGAATTAGCCACTGTGTATACAGGAAAGACTCAGAAAGAAAGATGGAAACAGTGACCATGTTTTTTTTTAAGACTGATAGTACTGTGTTCTACTATAATATGACAGCTGCATTGATAATTATGTTTTGTTGCTGTGCTTCTGCACCTGTCGGACTGCTGTTTCACTGGTGTTTGTGTTGCTATAACACATTTAGTAAGTGTGCTGCCTTTTCATGGTCCTCTAGCAGTACAGTTTATGTTTCTTTGCATAGCTGTCAAAGCACTGAACTGAACTGATTTTGCAAAGTGGAATTTGACTTAAAGAGTTAATATATAACATATCCAAAAAGCAGTGTTTTCTCTGGATGTTGTACAAATATTACCTCAAAATATGCACACTGGTGTCACATAGTTTGTCTGAGATGTTTCTGCATTCCAAATATAAATACTATTTTTCCATTCAATATTCATTTAGAGGTAATGATTATAATATTAATTTGATTTGGTTGTTTTCAGTGTTTAAACATGAAAATCCGCTTCCCTTGTCTCATAAAGACCTAAATATAAAAGAAAATAAAAAATTATAACTAGATGTTTTTTTTTACTTTCCTACTCTTTGTTAAATACTGGGGGGGGGCTGTTTGGGGGGGACTGCTGTTTGGGGATTTTTGTTTTGTTTTGTAATGCTGGGGATTAAACCTGAAGAGTGCTGAGCTACATCTCTAGCCCCTGTTAGTTTTTCTTTTGAAACAAGGTCTTGCCAAGCTGCCCAGGCTGGCCTCAAATTTCCTTCTCTGCTTCAATGTCCCGAGTTGCTGGGACTACAGAGGTGTTTCACCATGCCCTGCCTCGCCCTCTAATGTTTATTACAATTTTAACTCCAGTTTAGCTTAGTGTATATTTAAGTTGTTTTCTCTTGGCGGGGTGGGAGGGTGGATGAAATGAGCAAATACATAATTTTATTTGAGATAAAAGTCAGGAGTTACTGCTAAAATACAGACATGAAGGAGACATTTAACAAGAGTAAGAAATGGGAGTTAGACCATATGGGCTGACAGCACCATAAATAACCAGAGAAGGGAGGGAGTGCTGGAGTAGGGGAGAGCTGAACAAATGACAAGTGGAAATATCAAATGAGAGCTGTCTGGGTAAATACAAGGACAGTGAGTATTTGGGGCCTTGGCCTGCTCTAGAGAAGTCAAGCCCTCTGCCAGGATAACATACAGAAAGGAAAAAGGGTAGTTTTAGAACTGGCAGAACCAAAATCGAATCCTGCCTTCACCACTTGGTTTTAGCTATATGATCTTTAAAAGAAGTTACTCGGATTTTCTAGGACTTCATCTTCTCATCTCCAGAATGGGGATAATAAAAGTAAAACAGGGTTACGGAAGAAACTAAGCTAACACAGTGATTGTCAATGTTCAGGCTGTACAATTAGGGGAAAGCCTGGGAGCTCTTAGAAGAGGATGAACAAGCTCTTTAGAGCTTACATTTAGGGGATCTTAGACTTCCAACTCTTGCAGTTTTACAGATCTCTAACTGGAGATAAAAGTTTGAGCAATTTTTCCCAGGTAAACTGGAGAGAATTGATGCAGGGTCACGTTTTGAGCCTAGGATTCAGATAACCTGATATTACTGTAGTCTTCACTCACAAACTACCTGGAATTAGAAACCTAAACCTAAAACATTGCCACGTAAAGCCAGGGTTTTGAAGGAGAGTCTGGCTTCAGAGTCTGCAGTTTTCCAGTTACCATACTGTTTCACAAGCTGTGTTTGATTGTTCTTCCTACTCCTCTTCTTCCCAATGACAGTATCTAGCAAATCATGTTAAATGATTAACGTAAAATAGGGTAAAAAGTCAGAACTGTAGTGCATTTACCCAAAGTGGGGAGAGGGTGACTTGTCCTAAAAATAAGAATGCAGGGGTGGTTGGCAGGGCTGGAGAGGAGGCAGAGCCCGGTGAGATCCTGGGCTCTTTACCCTGTTGTACTTTATTCATAACATGCTTTCTGAAATGATGTATGTTTTGTTTTCATCTCCTTACCAGCAACTAACAGCCCGCACACAGTAAAGCGGTGATTCTCAGCTGGGAATGGAAAGGGTGTCCTCCAGGAACATTTAGCTGTACCTGGAGACTTGCTTGTCACACCTAGGATGCTCCTGGTGGACAGAGGCCAGGCTGCTGCTAACTGCTCTACAAGGCAGAGGAAGACCACCCACAACAGAACTGTCTGACCTGAAATGTCCATATTACAGAGGCTGAGATACCCTGTAACGGATGATTGCGGCAGGGGGTACCAGTTGTCATTTCACAACATCCGTCCTTTTATCTGTCTGTTGTCATAAATAACCTGACTTGTATACAGCCGGGAAGCATAAAGACATTGCAGTGGCATCACACAGCAGGAAGGAGGAATGGTACGAAGCGGTAACTTCTGTCTTTCTTCCTCTTTCGGCCTGAAGCAGACGCATGCCATGATCATGAAACTAAAGGCAGGCAAAATGGAACAAGATAGGAGGAGGCTCTTTCCTGTCAACACAGCACCACTCCTGTCCTGAACTGGTCTCATGTTCAGTAAATTACACCAGATACCATTAATGCGTTGTCTAGACGTGCATTAAAAAAATTAGACACTTCCTACAGGGAGTGAATCCATCAGCCTTTTTTTATCTTGCCTTTTATGTTAGGCTCCTGATCCAAAAGTATTACCTCTACTGTCTGCATATTCGATGTTTCATCTGCACCATGTATTGTACCCCCACAAGCCATACCTTTCACACCGTAGGAGTTTACAAGAAAAGTAGACCGAGGCACCCTGTTCCTTATCTAAGGTGTGATATAACTACAAACACAAGAGCATTTAGCCTCATCACAGAAGATAACATACAAGAGCTTGATGTGTGAACCGAGTAAGTGGGAAAAGCTTTCATTTCCTCCAGTGTGGTATTCTTGATGATCAACCTTCTTCCTAGATTTGAGCAAAGAATGTGTTTGAAGTTTTGCCGCTGCCCCCGCCCCCAACCCAGGCCACACTTTGTGCCTTCGTGGTTAAGCCACATTTCTCCAGAGTCTAAGGTGCCTTCAGGAATCTGAATCACCACCTGTGCTAAAGAATTTCTGCCTCTTCCAAGGGCTACTAATTTTCTGGGGCACAAAGCCTCCTAGAGCACTTAGCCAAAACTTCCTGGAATAACCCTCCAAAGAGGGCTACTTCTCAAGGAGGCTTTACTGTCTTTCTGAGACAAAATATAGTAAAAGAAAATAGAGATCTTGAAAAAAAATTCATTATCAGTGTAGTAAATTTCCTCATGTATACACATACACAATTTAAAAAATGAGGTCATGCTAATGTTTGATACCTAGTGTTTTGTGACCTGATCCCTGCCCCATCCATAAATTTTGCAAGAGTCTACGACCTACCTCTTAAACAGATCACAGAAACGTCCCGAGGGCCGCTGTCTTTTTTCAAGCATTTTTATGTGCGCACATTCACACTCCATCCTCCTGGGGAATCACGGACCTAGGCAGCCAGTGCTGGCAGAGACTGCGGTACCCATCCAGGATGTGAGGGCAGAAGAGAGGGTGGATCCAGTGTTCTGTGACTGTTTCTCTTACTCTTCTTGATTGCTTTTTCACAAGAATCTTTATGGCAAAAAGTACTCGAAGTTGTAGGGTATAGTGGTTACATGCATAGACTTCATGGATTCGAATCCCATCTCTTACCTATTCTGAGTCTCGATTTCTCCTCCTCCTCCCCCTCCCCCCTTCCCCCTCTCTCCTCCTCCTATACTAGGAATAGAACCCAGTGGCAACTGAACTATATCCCCAGATCATCTTTATTTTTACAAAACTAGGGACTGAACCCAAGTCCTTCCCACTGAGCTACATCTTCAGCCCATTTTAAAAATTTATTTTGAGACAGTCTAACTAAGTTCCCAAGGCTAGCCTCAAACTTGAAATCTTCCTGCCTCAGCCTCTCAAGTAGCTGAAACTATAGGCTTGTGCCACCATCCCCGGCTTTCTTTATCTTTAATGTGATTAAGGCTATTTCATGGACTTGCTGAAAGGATTATACGAGCTAATAGACATAAAATGTAACTCTTTCTGGTGATGAGCTACTCTGAACATTATGCAAAAAACTAGTGCCCGATGGTAATTTGCCCCCAGGTTTTTTTTTCTTTAATATGACAAAATTGTTGAATAAGTCTTAAAGGTGGAAAACATTTTGGGGCTGGATAGTGATAATGGTTGTACCATATGAATGTAGCAAACACCACTGGGCTGTTCACTTAAGAGGGCTAAGATACTCAATTTTATTCTGTTTATTTTATCCCAAACAAAAAGTGGAAGACCCCGAGTTTTATTTAATAAAAATGTCCTGTGGTGAGACTGATAGGCAGTTTGGGATGATTTTTCCTAACAGCTATGGGCAGCTGTTTGCTTAGCTGTACAATAAAGGTTTACTTGGCTTCCGTGTGGCTCAGTTCTAGTGTATCTAATTCTTTTCACATCACCCCTCCCATTTTCCTGTCTTCACAGTATGCCTTGTTTTGAGATTATGGCAGGATTAGATACATTTTCAACCAACCCTCCTTAAAAAGCTAGTAAATTCCTATCCCAGGCAGTGTTGTAGTTCCCTTCAAATCTCATTAGCAGATCTGTAGTAGAGTGAAACAGCCTAGTTTTGGGTGTTTTGTTAAACACTTGAACTTTACAACCATTTTTCCTTCCCAATGATTAACAATAATGACAGTAGTATGTGTATATGTAACTGTGCATATATGTAATGTGAATAAATAATGTTTTTAAAAGGCAAAGGTGGGCGGATCTTGGGACTTGGGGGAGAGGGGCTAGAGCAGATACATTTTGAGAAATCCTTTATTTAAAAAATTATACAAAATTACCAAAACAATTATGTATGAATTTATTCAGAATAACAGAAATCACAACACATTATGAAAGTGTTAAAGATTTTGATCTTTCTTCCAAGATTGCAGGGCAGTTTAGCACCAGTCCCTTCCTGGGTGAAAGCTGGCTTCTGTTTTCTACTCTACAACTCCAGCATACAAAGGCATCAGTGCATGCAGAGCCATGAGCTTGCTTATACTTCATTACATCCTTATAAACTCCTCTCTGGGTGAGAAGTAAGAGAGCAAAGGTAATTCTCTGACAGCTACCTCAAAATTTAAAGTAATACAAGCCACACACTTTTAAAATTTTTTAGTGAAGATCCAGGTGTGGCAGTACATCCCTGTAATCCCAGCACTCTGGTGGCTGAGGCAGGAGGATCACTGTGAGTTCAAGACCAGCCTGGGCTACACAGTGAGTTCCAGGTCAGTCTCAAATACATAGTGAGACCCTGTCTCAAAAAATAAAGTAAATAAAATAATTTTATTTTATAAATAAAATAAATAAATGAATAAATAAATAATGAGCCAGGGATTTAGCTCAGCAGTTCGGTGGCCTGCCTTACAAGCCCAAGGACCTGAGTTCAATCCCTGGTACCAATAAATAAATAAATAAATAAAATAATTTAATAATAAATAAAATAATTTAATAATAAATAAAA